GAAATTGAGGCGGCATGATTGAATATTTCAGACTTGCGAGTCCATGCGGTGGATGAATCAGGTCCATCAGTAGGATGGTGAGATACCAGAGAATACATCTACACTCCACATCAATGAACATTGGGCTTCAGCGTGTCTCACCGAGCCTGTCATTTTCGGTCACCAAAAATGAGCACTTAACCCTTCCAGTGCAGGGGTAGCCCCACTGCAAGGGTTATGAAAAATGTTCCCTGAAGTTCTGCTCTAATTTCACAAGTAGCCCCCCTCCAGAAGGAAGGACAGTGTCAGCCCCAATTCAAGGATGATTGGAGGATCTACAGCCGAGTGATACACAAATAAGATACATTGTTGTTCATAATGAAGGGGCCTGAATGTATTTTTAAGATTTAACTCCGGAGTTTAGTGTCACTTTAATGGGATGTCCAACAATCTCATACAAATGCGATGGTCAGGTATCAACAATCTTTTGGCCATATAGTGTGTCGTCAAATGGATTTACTGCAGACATTTGTCTGTAATGAGACAATTAGGACAACAAATTCATATTGGTTCATCAATAAAAATAAAACCAGCATCCATTTATTAAAACCGGAAAGCCAGAAAACATACTAATGGAAATCTAATGGGAGCTTTCAAAATTCAATCTAAACTACGATGGAGAATGGTCTGGCTTCTGACAACTCCAAGGTATCGGTGAAGAATCTTCATGTACTGGTAGACTTCAGAGGCTTGAAAGAAGAAGCTTAAAGTGACACCAAACTCAGGAGTTAAATCTCAAAAATGCGTTCAAGTACCTTAAAGGAGAATTATGAGGTGAGTGATTTTCACTCATCCTCATAGTTTGAGCCGACGTGTGACAATGAAACTGTCACAGGTCAGCTCAGTAGATCGGGAGGTGAGCGAACACATACCGGCATTCGCTCACTTCTCGATTTATCCCTGCAGAGAGCCGTGACTGTCACTCACGGCTCCTTGCAGGGATTCCCCCCTCCGATCCTCCAACGCTGACTGGCGGAATGGATGGGGTCGGTCACAGCTGGCTCTGCCTCTGGATAGGCAGAGCCAGCTGTCAATCCTGCAGCTAGGTGGATCTCGACAGTAATGTCGGGATCCGTTCCGGCTGTAGCATCTCAGTATACCGCGAGCTGTAGCTTGTGGTATACTGAGCTTTGGGTCACGGAGAACACTAGTTTGTGTTCTCCCGTGACCCTAAGGAGAACTATTGGGAAAAGCCCTGACCCCAGAGTTCTCCTTTAACTCTTAACAAAAATGTCTCTTATTTGTGTATCACTCGGCTGTAGATCCTCCAATCATCTCTGAATTGGTGCTGACACTGTCCTTCCTTCTGGAGGGGGACTACTTTTGCTCTCCATGGTCCCTGTATGTGTTGTAAAGTAGTCACCGCTCCAAGCTCGCTCCCGGGATGGACTACAATCTCAGTACAAATTAGTAAACTAAACAGGAGCTTGTAGTCCATCATGATGATGTAATTGCTGCTCTCTCCTTCATTGCACTATGAATAAAGGGCACCGTGATGATGGGCCCTTAGGTGGTGGCTCACGATGCCAAGCATTTATATTAAGGGTGCGTTCCCACCAGAATCCGAGCCAAAAATGCATGGGTGAAGAATCTTCATGTACTTGTAGACTTCAGAGGCTTGAGAGAGGAAGCTTAAAGTGACACTAAACTCAGAACTTAGTTTGTATTGAGATTGTAGTCCATCCCGGGAGTGAGCTTTTAGTGGTGACTACTTTACAACACACACAGGGACCATGGGGACAGACATAGCCCCTTCCAGAAGGAAGGACAGTGTCAGCACCAATTCAGAGATGATTGGAGGAGCTAGAGCCGAGTGATACACAAATAAGATACATTGTTGTTCAGAGTTAAGGTACTTGGATGTATTTTTAAGGTTCAACTCCTGAGTTTAGTGTCACTTAGCTGGTTCAACGCAAATCCAAAATTTTGGAAGAGTGTTCACATATAGATAGCTCACAGCAGAAAGGTAAGACAGACAAACGACTCTTGAGAATTGAATACAAGAAATCTCTGTATGGCTTTATTTATGAAACAAGTGAGTAATAAAATATGGTGATTTTCGGAACATTCCTCCTCTTCATAAAGGGTATTTGGAGAAAATTATCTTCAGTTCTGTAAATAATGGGGGTTTTTTTTTTTTTTTCCTATTCACAAATTCCTTTAACTGGACACTTATTTTTCCTGAGATAAGGTTTTCTTGTATCATTATTATCATCACCCTGGTAGGATAATCATAACCCTTCCGTATTAATAATTACGATTGTCTGCATTTTTTGTTTCCCCCAAGACTATGACGAAGATTGATTTATCCCAAAAATAAAACGAGTCGTCTTGGGTAGAATTAGGTCTTCCAGCAGAAACAATATTAAACAATAACTAGAGCTCTGAAGAAGTTTTTTGTTTTTTTTAATGGTCATGCTGCAATGTCGGATCTTACCAGCAGGTGACATTTTACATTGTAGATTTAAGAATATCCAGTAAAACTGGGCAGCAACAAGGAGTGGGGACGTCACTGCATACTACAACTTAAAACCTATTCTGCCCAATACATTTTAGAATAACTCCTCATATCAGATCAGGTTGGGATGTCATATGTCTTCTTTTTGTATGGGGAGTGCATGCTATGACTTGGATGCCCACAATGTACAGGTTCTGAAACGGGAAGCTCACCAGGTTTGGATTCACAAATGGGAATCTTAGTTAGAGTTTCCAGTTGCCTTTGCTCTAAAGCAGGGATGGCCACTTGCGGCGCTCCAGCTGTGGTGGAATTACAAATCCCATGAGGCTTTGCAAGATTCCCACAGCCACGACTCCCGGAGAGAGATGCTTCATGGGATTTGTAGTTTCACCACAGCTGGAGGGCCGGAGTTTGGCCATCCCTGCTCTAAAGTGACTCTCTTGCTATTTTTAATACCTTGCTTGTCCAGCTACCCATGCCACCGAACAGGGTCGGAGCAATAATGCCAAAAGATGTTCAGCATCCACCACACTGCCGGGAGTGTTGGATGTTGACCCCCCCCCCCCTGCTAAGCTCGGTGGTTTCCACCACTGGTCCCTAGATCATTACAGGACACAAGAACTGATGGAAGGAACCACAGCTCACCATGGGAAACCAGGCATCCATCAGTTCCTGTGTCCAGTAGAGATCTAGGGACCAGCAGAGGAAACCACAGAGCTTAGCGGGGTTGGGAGGGAAGGTCAACATCAAACACCTTCGGAAGTGTTGAATGCATTAGATCATTGAGCAAGCTTCTTTCTTCCACCCAACAGAGCTGGGCAGTGGGATAGGTAAGTATTGTTTGCTTCGTAGGGAGACCTTTTCTATGTTTTTAAAATGGCAACAAAGGCAAAAGGAAGCTCACCCGACAGAGGATATTATTTATGGACGGGGAACTCATGAAGCAAAAGTTTTAATGGAAATGGAAAAGCATCAGGGGCTCAGAAGCGATTTAGAAAAGTATGATTCAGGAGAACATCCTGGGACAAAATCTCGAGCTTATGGCTGATAGGAGATGGACAAGATGGGAGCTCTGACCTTTGAATGGGAAGTTCCTCAGGCTGGAACGTTATTTGAGAGAAGTTCCAACCAGAATAAAACAAGAGAAAAGTTACTGTCTATGGATCAGAGCACCAAGCCAACCACTGGATCCACTTAATTTCACCCATAAGCCCAAGCTTTTGTCCTGGGACAAAAGCTCGGGCTTATGACTGGAAAGCTTTTTGAAGATGGGAGCTCTGACCTTGGAATGGGAACATTATTTGAAAGAAGTTTCATCCCAAGCGAAAGTTACTGTCTATGGATCAGAGCACCAAACCAACCAATGGATCCACCTAATTCCACCCATAAGCCCAAGCTTTTGTCCTGGGACAAAAGCTTGGGCTTATGACTGGAAAGCTTTTACAAGATGGGAGCTCAGACCTTTAAATAGGAAGTTCCTCAGCCGGGAACATTATTTGAAAGAAGTTTCATCCCGAGTAAAGGTTACTGTCCACGGATCAGAGCGCAAAGCCAACCACTGGATCCACCTAATTCCACCCAAAAGCCAAAGCTTTTGTCCTGGGACAAAATCCTGGCCTCATGACTGGAAAGCTTTTAGAAGATGGGAGCTCTGACCTTGGAATGGGACGTTCCTCAGCCGGGAACATTATTTGAAAGGAGTTTCATCCCAAGCAAAAGTTACTGTCTATGGATCAGAGCACTAAACCGACCACTGGATCCACCTAATTCCACCCAAAGCTATGTTTTTTTTTTTTGGTTCTTGGCAACATTAGTCTTTAATTGTGAGGTACCCACACTGGCCTTGATTTTTCTTTTTACATTGAACAGTCCCCTAAATAAAACAAGACACTATATATATATATTTATCCTTTACATGTGAAGCTCACCATTTCCAGACTCTAAAGTATGGATGTATTGCACTTCCAAAAAATAGGCGGAGAACACAAACACTCGTCATGCTAGGTAGCCAGTCGTAGAACGTTTTTTTTTTTAATGGCGAATAGTCTCGTGAATTTGGTAAATGACTGTAGTCAGTGGCAAATTTTATCTTCAAATGGCTTTAAGTAATTAAAACCTGTGGACTCCCAAATGGCTTTATTCTACCTTAAAAAAAAAATAGTTTCCAGAAAAAAACTAAAACTTAATTTAGTTCTTTATGAAAACATCTACAACTACAACAATTTTCTTTTGTAAATATTCTCCAAGGTGTCTTCGTGATGGTCCAGCAGTGCTGGAAGTGAATCCAATTTTCCCAGTGAAGCAACCCAAAAAATTAGGAAAAGGTTGTCTTATTTATTTTTTTAAATAGGTGGTTTACCGCCTTCATGGTATTTTGGCATAGTAGGTCCCCGAAGATCGTGTCATTTTGTATTTCAGCTGGCCAAAAACCTCCTGGAATCCAAAAAAACCTCAGCTGGCCAGAAACCTCCTGGAATCCAAATAAACCTTATATAGTGAGGGATCCTTGACTTCCGCTTCCATGAAATCACAATCCCTTCCGCTCTAGCCTCTCCAGAATGGACTGTAGTTTCCTTACAGCTTCTTTCCGCGCCTGGCGAACACTGTCCTGACCGCCAGTTTCTATGGAATCTAGTTCTAATAACTGCTTTGTCAAAAGCTCTTCTAAACTTCGATAACTCATGTCAGTCTTTCTACCTACAAACTCATCCACCTCCTCCTCCAGTTCCGCCACCTTTTCCAAGATTTGGTTGACCTTCGCAATGCCGGGATCAGCTGGAGAAGCGTTGGCTTCTTTGGCTCTAGGAGTGGTTTCTTGGTTTGAAGGATCTTTCCGGTTGTACATTTGAGGAGAAGCGCTGTAATGAGGGTTGGGTGGGGCTGTTGGAGTAGGAGGGTTACACTTGGGTTCTGGTGTTGGCCCCGGCTGAGAGATATTGGAGGGGTAGCCAGGAAAAGATCTTTGATGATTGTAATTGGGTGGCTGAGATGGATCCTGCAATTAACACAAACATTCTCATTATTTTTGCACATTCATCACCAGCAATAAAGCTACCCACAGGATATAAAACCAAGGCATCAAATTATCTTTCCGCTAAACACTTTCCCCATGAATAACCTGTACCTACGCGCACAATTTTCTAGATCTCCACATGAATAATTCTTAAGACGTTATTTGATGTTGTTGAGTCATAAGGACAGTCATAAAGACTCTTTTATGTAACAAAAGAAAGGAAAGCCTGCTTGGTGTTCCTAGACCACTTCCCCTAGCAGCAGGAAACAACCATACCATTACCATATGGTAGTAGTGACAAATTTGTACAACGACAAGGACAGAAACTGGAAAGGATAAGGCCTCATTCACACTGCTAAGAGGCGGCCCGTACAGATCCGTGCGGCGTGCATGGCCGTATCGGGCCGCTCCCGGGAAGGACAGGTGCTGCGTGTGATTGTACACAGCAGCCTGTTCTTCTCAATGGGAGTACGCAGCCGTACGCTCACCTGCAATGCACACCTGTGCGGGTGTCCATGCTCGGACGCAGACAGAATCCATCCTGTCTGCGTACGAGTTCTTGCAGGCTACTTTTCTACATGTTCTTCCTATGAAGATCCTCTCTCCTGTTTAAAAACTACTTCTGCAGAGAAGCAAGACATCCTCAGAGACTACATGTCCCAGCATCCAATGTGGCTGCAAGTTTGCTGGGGGAAAGTGGGATGCAGCGATGTGGGTGTAACAGTGAAAAACGCTGTCGTCTTGCTAAATGAGCTGACGCCGAGTCTAGTTCCGAGACATCTACAAGGTGGAGACATCAATCATCGGCCAAGGATGCGTTAGGGCAGGAACAAATCTCCCTTAACCCCACCACCCTGACATGCTTACCTATAGTTTAGCTCTACAAAGAGGCTCAAAGATAAGTGTAGTGTAGTAGAACAAAAGGGAAAAAGTGGTTAGGTTACAATAAAACACAGGACCGCTATAGTTGATGGTCCACCTCAACTAACTATGTGATTGGTAGTAAATATTAAAAGATACAGTCACTTTTCCCATTCAGGGCAACATTACGCTGTCTTTGTAAGTGGCATCCCCTGATCCCTATACACTCCCCTTACCGGTCTTCCCTTGCTGCTCTTACGCAGCAGGCCCTGCAACTGGCTGTGTCGGCGACCCAAGGGAGTGGTGACATCACTCTAAGTTATGCGAGAGTGTTGGGATCTAGTAGATTGGCTGCTAGGCCCGAGCACTGTCTCAGGAGAGCAAGTCACATGACGTTGCAATGCGAGTGTCCCTTTAAAGAACAAGATACAGGAAATCCTACCGCACTCCTTACTGGTATTTCCCTTGCGGTGGGTGCTGTAGTGACTGCGGATGTCGCCGCTTCAGATTCAAGTAGTAAAATAGATCACCAGCACACCGTTGATGCACACATCTGGTCACATTACAACGTATCGGGGCCACTCAAGGTCCCTTCCAAAGGCATGATCACTTTCTGAACATTTGATGACGGTGTGCTGGTGATATATTTTACTTCTTTAAAGAACAAATCTCTCCTAACAACTCTTCAGTTTCTCCTCTCCCCGAGGGGACAGAGTGCATGTAGCACTTTCCTTTGTTTTGAAGACATAAACTAGCGTCCTCCTGTGATATTGCGAGCTACACCTGGCGGTATACTGAGACCCCCGCAGCAGGGACGGATCCAGACATTACTGTCGAGATTCACTCAGCTGCGTGAGTGACAGCTGTCTCTGCTTATCTAGAGGCAGACAGCTGTGCCCCCCCCACTCCCCCGTCCGTTCCGCCAGTCAGCTCTGGAGGATCGGAGCGGGGCAATCCCTGCAGCGAGCCGTGAGTGACAGTCAGACAGTGACGGCTCTCTGCAGGGACATGATCGAGAAGTGAGCAAGCAACGGTATGTGTTCGCTCACTTCCGGATCTATTGAGCCGACATGTGACAGTTTCATTGTCACAGGTCGGCTCGAACTATGAGGATGAGTGAAAATCACTCACCTCATAGTTCTCCTTTAAGTAGGATATACACAGGTAGATTCTCCAACAAAGGTTCCTATGAAAAAACATCCCTTCGGAACATTCGATAAAGCCATTAGATTCTTGGCGATTGTCGTTTGAAATTTTATTTGATTTTCATTGAACATCGATTTTGGAATGAATGGAGTTTCCTGAATCAAAACCACATTCACTGCTAGAATTCTGTTCGATCGAGAAACACTTTCCAACGTGCTCCTTCAAATTTTTTCATCACTGCGGTCGGAGTTGAGCATCGATTTGACCCCCATCAACGATTAGAAAGGTGAACGAACGTTCCGAGCCCGATTCCTTCCGTTGGAAAATTCTAACCCGACTATAGTAGGAGACGAATAGCTAATTCGTTTTGATTGGCAGCTCTCGTCTCCAGCACCAGGAAGGGGAGCCGATAGGCAGTAATGGCGGAGATAAAGAATGGATTTACTGCACAATCACTCAGCATTTCCTTTCACAAGCTGAGAGAAGTATTTTTAGATGAATCAATAGACCAGCAGTGGAGATGTTATTGTTCCGGAAACGTCTTCTTTCAGCTTATCTGAGATGTGTGTAAGTAGTCGTGTTATCTTCAGTCAATTTGACAAGGAATGAGATGTGGGGGGGGGGGGGGGGGGGGAGGTGTGTACGCG